CTCAAACTTCTGGGCAAGGGTAAGAAGACTGATAAGCCCAGGAGTTTACGGCAGCAGTGAGCTACAATTGTACCACTGCACTCTAACTCAGGTGACAGAGTAAGACTCTGTCCCAAAAACAAAACAAAAATTTTAAAAAGCTGCTTCTCTCAAAAAGGAAAGTAGATCTTATTTGGAAATTATTGTATATATCTATTCTACCCTGCCTGGAATATTTAGGTTCTTGTCTCTATTTCAACCGAACTCAGAACTTAGGCAGAAAAACAGCAGGCACTGTTAATGAAAGCTATAAAGCGGACTACAGACTCACAGAAACCTGGGGCAAGAGATTATAGGTAGAGATACAGAGAAGTTGGGGTGAAACTCTTTGGAAAATTAGGATATTCCACAGCAACATGTAGACGAACAATTTAGAAAGCTACACACATGCCCAGGCAAGATACAGAATCATATAAGACCTGAGAACATCATAAGCTTTCACCTCAGGCTAATCCCTAGGCCCAGAGTAATCCTAATTAAGTCTTTTTTTTTTTTATTTTTTGAGACAGAGTCTGACTTTGTCCCACTCTGTAGAATGCCATGGCACCACAGGTCACAGCAACCTCCAACTCCTGAGCTTAAGCGATTCTCTTGCCTCAGCCTCCCAAGTAGCTAGGACTACAGGCGCCCTCCACAACGCCTGGCTATATTTAGAGACAAGGTCTTGCTCTGGCTCAGGCTGGTCTCGAACCTGTGAGCTCAGCAATCCACCCGCCTTAGCCTCCCAAAGACTGGGATTATAGGCATGAACCACCTTACCTGGGCCCTAGTTAAGTCTTAAAAAATTATTCCAGCAAAGAACCAAACTGCAGAGACAGGCAGAGGTGGTTATTTACCGTGTTTTTCTGCTTCTCTGTTTTTCCTCGTTAGTTTTTTGTTTGTCTGAGCTCCTGTCATTCAAGGAAATCTTGGTCAAAACATTCGCTGAACACAAGCTACAGAAACAGAGCCTTCAGCGATCACACATAACAAGGAACACTCTCTGCAAAAATATTTTATAAGAAGTCTCAAATCAGACAACTGCAGCCTTCAAGAGACAAAACAAAAGCAAAAAACACCAGTAAACCCTGGGAAATGGGGAGACTCTGACTTCCAACATTTCCACATTATAATAGTCAAATACCCTATTTTCAACAACAAAAAAACTCTGCAAGATATACAACACAAACAGAAAATATGGCCCTTTCAAAGAAACAAAATAAATTAATGGAAACGAGTGCTTGCTTCGGCAGCACATATACTAAAATTGGAATGATACAGAGATTAGCACGGCCCTTGGGCAAGGATGATACACAAATTCATGAAGTGTTCCATCTTAAAAAAAAAAAATCAACAGAAACAATACTTGAGAAAGTCAGACATCAAATTTCCCAGACATAGACTATTTTGGGGGGCAGACAAAGTCACACTCCATTGCCCTGGACAAGGGTACCATGGCATCAGCCTGGCTCACAACAACCTCAAACTCCGGCTCAAGTCATCCTCAGCCTACCAAATAGCTGGGACTCCAGATGTGAGGCACAATGCCTAGTTAATTTTTTCATTTTTAGTACAACCAAGGTCTCACTTTTGCTCAAGCTAGTCTTGAATTCTTCTCACCTTGCCCTTCCACGAGTGCTAGGAATACAGGCGTGGGCCACAGCACCCAACCCAGACATAGACTTTAAAACCGTCTTAGCCTGGGCATGGTGGCTCATGCCTATAATCCTAGCAGTCTGGAAGGCTGAGGTGAGTGGATCACCTGAGCTCAAAGAGTTTGAGACCAGCCTGAGCAAGAGTGAGATCTCATCTCTAAAAATAGCAGAGCAATGTGGTAGATGCCTATAGTCCCAGCGACTTGGGGGACTGATGCAAGAGAACTGCTTGAGCCCAAAGTTTGCTGTGAGCTGTGACACCAGGGTAATCTACCAAGGGTGACAAAGTAGCACTCTGTCTCAAAAAAATAAAATAAAATAAATTGTCTTAATGAGCAGCCTGAACAAGAGCAAGATCCCAACTCTGCAAAAAATTAGAAAAATTAGCCAGGCATAGTAGTATGGACTTAAAGTCCCACTACTTGGCAGGCTGAAGCAGAAAGACTGCCTGAGCCTAGGAGTTTCACATTGCAGTGAGATA